CGTGGACACTAGGCTTCCTAAAATTTTGACCTACTCAGAAATTGTAAAGGACTGCACTGTGCCTGAACGAATAAGGCAGAAAGAATCTGTTCCATTCCAGTTTTCTGTGCGTATGGCGTCGCAACTCTTGAAACAAACTCAAACACAATATATACAACATCCGAACAGAAAGTACCGTCCTTAAAATGATTAACATTTGCAGGAAGTGTTTTTCCTGCAGACTGACCACAGGGCAGTAAAACATGATAAAACAATTAGTAACCAGAAATGATTTGATTACTGTCAAATAATATAAGGATATTGGTATATATGGACTACGACTTAAAACAGCTTTACTATTGTTTTGTCCTTTGCGCTATCCTTTGCCTTGAGGCTAATGATTTATGATATTAAAGTTTAGGGAACGGAAGTTAAAAGAAATCGTAAGCTAATCCTGTAGGATGAGAGTACTAGGTTATACGTTTCAAGTTTTACGTGCGGTACTACCTTTAGGCATCTCTGTAAATAGTAAGTTCGTATTAAGATAGTTGTCACCTAACTGACCACCGTGCCGTACCGTGCTGTGCCCACCCGTTCTATTGCTTGGCAACGCGCGCACGTTGGTAGAGATTTACTTCACCATGAACACCTTCCAAAAGTATGTACAAGACAAGACAGTGTTGGACTAATGGGTTTAATGTCGAAATTTGTACATACGTTCATCTGCTAGAGAACGATCATTTTCTTAACTTAGTCGATTCCATAAAAGTTGGTGCTTGCAACAAGAATGGTCCGATTACAAATGACCTTTTCCTACAACTAGACTGCGATGTGGGTGAGCCACAATAGCTGAAGGCAAAAGGCCCCTGTCGTTGTTTCGTCGCTGTTTTTTTTCTGAGTATGCGAAGCAAAGCCCACCTGTGTGAATTCGATCCTCATCAGCTCGCAAGCACTAGCCGCGAATGTTACAGTACGGGAATACTGTAGCTGGCGAAAGCTGAAAATGAGTAGAAACCACTCCATCGCTCTTAGTACCACTCGGACGCAGAAGAACACGCGGCACACAAGGTAGAACGCAAACGTAGTTTCCATATATATATAATTCATTTGCTGTGAGTACAATATGAATCGCATTTTGATGAAAAATACACATATACAGATAAGTGAAATAGGGAAGGATCGCAAACACGTCGATAAATATCCGATGGATTTGTCGTGCCTACAACTAGCAAATGTATCCGTTTTCGATGAAAAACTTCTCTGCTTCACGAGACGTGGCAGTTGCGCCTATATTGCGAAAACTATCCATTTATATTCGAAACAAATGTTAAGAAATAAACCGCCGATTTTTAAAAAAACTGGTTTTTTCGACCAGCTAGAATTTCTGTATAGGAGCACAGTGTTATGCATTGTTTTTTGACAATGCTTACTAAAAGTTCATGATTTGTAAAGTGTACATTATAATTCGTTCTATACAAGCAACAAACTATTTTTCTCCTAGGAATAAAAAAACAAAAAATCACGATTTCTAAGCTTGTCGATGTATATCTAAGATAAACGCTAACAGAAAAAAATAATCAAGTGATACGACACTTCTATTTTAGCCGATCAGTAACTTGATTCGTGTGGTCAACACAAAAATTATTTGAGTACGTAGGTAAGAGTTACGCGTTTCGGTTAGTATCATTCAAGAGCTTCAAGTCCGCTACCGCCGTTAGGCATTCCATCAGACGACTGGCTTCTAGCACGAGGCGGACCGTGTGCCCGCGCGCCGATTCGAACGCAAATCATTTGCGTGTTTCTCAAGTCTATTATGCAAACACGCTACCTCTTCGCCACCACCGGCACCAGTTTCTCGTACAATTCACGCCATTGTTCGTATCCATCACTTACTGCTTTGAAAGCCTGCAGTATTCAGCAACCTGCTTGGCCGTTCATACCCAGGGCTGTCTGAAGAAGCGTCGCAGATGTGTGGGAGGTAAATTCCCTTGTGATTCTTCCAAGGTCATTAAGAGGGTCATGTTTTCGCTCATTACTCTTTAGCCGCCATATGGGTATGGAGCACTTCACAACAACAGGTCATAACAATTTTAAATTGCGCGCCAAACATGCCGGTATCTTGAGCGCGCCTAAGACAAAAGGGATCCTTTGTTTTGCAAAAAGTATGCGAGCTACTCAGTAGTCAGTGTAATAGCAGCAAATACAACGTCTAAATCAATATGAAAAAACGCTTATGCAAGGTTTTAGATCCGCGGCAAGCTTATGCAGACGGCGGCATGTAGCCGTGAGCGAGTCAACTTAAATTGGACACCGCATAAGCAAGTTTTAGCTTTGCATCTGTTAAAGGGGTGACATAGTATGCTTACTAGTACACTCTGGGGAGAGAAATTTTTAAGTTTTGAGAACGGCAGAGCCTATCTTGAAAAGTTTGAAGTTGACCATCGAAACTTAAATTCTGTTTTTAGCTCACCTCCAACGCTGCGTTCTATATACATATAGCTAAATTTGCCCTTCTTGTTTTTTTTTTCTGGTAAATGACATAACTTAGTTAGTAAGCTATTTTACAAGGAAAAAACTTTAAATAACAGGCCGTTTTTCGCTCATGTTGCGTACGAGGCCAAAGTATAAGGCGGCTGTGCATGTAGCACATAAACAAACCTCTACCCTTAGTGACCCTTAACATCCATATTTTGATACTTGATATTTTCATAGTTCCCTAACCCGTTTAAATATTCTAATCCTCAACGATCCATTCATACAAATTCCATATTTGCGTGCAAGATGCTTATATGTATGCATATACATATATGTAAGGTGGAACATTTAATATCGAACGAACTTTGGTGGGCTGCTGATCGTGACGGGTATACGTTCACTTGCTATTCTTAATACAAAATGGAAAGGTCACCATAGCAATAAATAGTAAAGAGTTTTCCGAATTTAAGAGAAGATCAGTTATTATCGAATGAGTTTATGCGAGATAAACTCTCGCCGAGACTAGAAACTTTTTCTTTTAGCCGCAATAGACTATCTACGTTATAGTCAGTTTTCATGCGGCCTCTGAAAAATTCGAGAGCGATTTTTAGAAGGCAAAGCGGAAAATCGATATATTATAAGCCTGAGGAACTTAATCAGGCTAAAAAAACATTTATTTACTCGGATTTTTCATTTAAAAATTAATAACCATTTGAAGAGTAGAATATCAACTGTCGATTAGGTTGTCGAGATAAGACCCAATGGTTAGTTTTTTTACGACTTTCTGCGCCTTTTGCACCCCTTGAATTTTCTAGTCGTTTCCAGCCCTTGCATTTTTGAGACATTTGGCTTGCTATCAACTGAGAATTTCGTTCTGTCGGCATTCTCTATACATAGAGAATTCAAACGACATTTTAGCAAGGTAACACCTACCAGTATTGTTAGACGCAAATGATTTCAAAAATTATTTGCGGAATAGAAAAGGCATTGAAAATAACTAGTGAGGGATCTTGAAGTAAATATGTAATTCCAGTGAATGCTGGTTATTTTAAGTAAACATGACCGTGAGGAAGGACATTTCTTGCACATGCAAAACATTTCGTGAAAAGACGTATATTTACTTAAATACACTCATAGAAACAATACATGAAAAAACATCCAAATTTAGATACACAATGCAGGGATAAATGATGACTAGTCTGTACCCTACCAGGAACAAAATGGGCTTAATGTACGCCCTTCACAATCTTTTCTCACATACATGAAGCAAAAACGTTACAACAATGACACAACCGAAAAGGTTACGAAAGGGGTAGACAGACTTTGTAGCAAATAATTTAAGGGTGGCAGAAGTATTTTACGAACAAAATATGGACCGCCGTCCCTACTGCTGCACTTGATATCGTCACTCAAAAAGCTAACTCGTAACGACTCGGTGATGCAATAGCAACTTTTCTTCTGAGCCAAAGGTAGGTCGTTCGGCCGCGCGTAAGTAAGCGCCACGTTTAAATGATCTAAATTGGCTAAAATATTCCCGAGTTTATCTCTCTAGATAACTGTGGAGACTGGGTGAACCTGCTGACGCTCCTCAGGCGCGTTGACTAAACCTGGGCAAAGTACAGGGTGAAAGAACCCTCACAGTATAGATTCCGCACCGAAACTGATTTTGAAGACAGGAGCTGCAAGCAAACGAAAAGAAGCAGCAGGGGGGATGGAAATCCCCGAGCCCACTATGTGGTTTATCTAGCGGAAACAAACTTGCCGGCGACGCGAAGCAGTTGGACCTTTCTGTAGTCGCGATGCCACGGTAGTAGTACTCATAGAGAACGCCTGTCTCTTCTAAGGAAAAACCAAGGCGTAAAACGAAAGCTTCAGGACGACTTGAAACTTTCGTAGGGAGTTTTTCAAGGTGACAACTTCATGGAGTCAAGTTAAGTCGAGACAATAATTTACGATTTGGAGGTGTATGCCTTTCCCTATAATACAGTATAGTTTGGGACGAGCGACCTTTTCGTTTGGCGTATTCCAATTCAACTGTTTGAGAGTCCGGTCCATACACTGATGGTGCCTTTCTTTTTACTTACTAAATTATACGGTTAGACGGATACCGTTGCAACGCAACGGCCAACATGTAGTTGTCGTTTAAATCCGCCCAAGTCTGCTCGTTAATCAAATCGTAATCCACTCTATGAGCAAATTACGTCAATGTGAACTAGTAGTTAATACCTAAACGTAAGTTGCGATCAAAGTAGGTTTCATACAGAGCCCTTTAGATTTACCCTAATAAACATTATTGAAAGAATCCTGTTTTTAAGTTTATATGAAACCGTCTAGCATCAATCCCTTATCACAGACTTTTCCTGCTCATGACGGCATTGCCTAAATAGTCTAAACTGTTGTATGTTCAGCCAGGGCTCTCTGGCTGAGGTTATCTACAAAGATTCGCTACATCGTATGTGTCTGTAGCGGAGTAATAGAAGAAAGAATAGGGTGCTCGATATTACATACAACTATAAATCATTCTCAAAATAATGACACTCTTGACCTCCAGTATGTAGGTAAACATAGATATTGCCCATACGATGAGGTGGGTTTATTATATTTTTCAATGTATGCGTTGTACATTAGCTATTTTGTGGCTACTTAGTATTACGGGTACCTTCATCCCGATTGTGCTGTATAATGAAATCCACCGCCTGATTGAAGTCATCTACAGCAGCCGTAGGCCGCTTCCGCGACTTGCGTTCGTCGCCGGCCAAGTATTTACCTGTCTTTACCAAAATCGCGTTTATTCCTGCATCCATTGCCCCTTGAATATCGTCCATAATATCCTACAGAGCAAAAAGTAAAAAGAACAACGCTACTAAACATGGCTTTATTTACAAGTATGTATAATCATCCAGTAAACGAAGCGATCTAACCGAAGCGATTGTAATTGGTGTATCCATGTTAAGCACAATCTGCTGAAGGTACTTATAAATAGCCATTCACATGTAATGGTAAACAGCGGATCTGGAGAAGAAATTGTTAATGTACAGAACATTATAATTAAAAAAAAAAACTAGCTTACATCGCCAATCATGACTGCTTCGCTAGGATTTTCTGCCATGCCTTGTAGCGCTTGTCGGAAGAACAATTCATTAGGCTTTCCGACTATTTCGGCCTGGATTCCGGTGGCATATTCTAACCCCGCAACGAATGGACCTGGTCCCAGCGCCAATCCACCATCAGCTCGATAGTACCGACCTTTGTGAATCGCGATTAGCTGACCACCGTTTAGGAGGATCTGAAAAGCCTTCATTTCCGTAAAATTCGTGGAGGACGTCATTGGAGCTTTTGTAAGAGCACATTGTCTATGTAGTTTATACTACGCTATCTTGTTTGCAAAAGGAAGTGATTAGATAATTAAAGCTAAAGCACAACAACAAACAACGCTTAGTCCTGTTGTTAACAAAATAGTGTTATTAGTCATCCTTTACAATCCATAAGGGTAACGTTGGTTACTTTATCTTTAAACAGTTGGAGTCAATTTGTCGGGTTCATTTTTCTACTGCAGCACCCGACAACATAGTAAGCCGGAAAAGTCAGCGATGACAAAAGCGTATTGGTTTATTAACCGTAGAGATAGTTGTATACATACCACAAGAGGCTTTTAGACATATTTTACCTCATTGAGTTTGTCGTAGGTAAATTTTTCCGGAGCAAGTCCAACCAGAACGGCGTTTACGTTTGATTGTCCATCCAGCTCCTTAAAGTCCTCCATTGCGTCGTCGTGAACGAGAAGATACGGTCGAAGTTGATGTTTCCTACATCGCGCCCATTTAGGTTGAGTAAAAATGCCGATACGTGCATACATAAATAATCCATCTCATGTATATATATTAATGAACTAAACAGGATGCGAAATTAACATAATAGTTGGACAGTATCTGTACACATAACATTTTTAATATTTGAATCAATGAAGTAAAATAGGCAAAGCAAGTTAGCAAACAGTTCGAAACCCATTTTTTCATATTTAACTTTTAAGATGTGCAATCTGAACCAATGTGTGCCTGTGAGCAATGAGCGTAATATCAGACGCAAGTCCTATTTGTGCGACACTGTCATAGGCTCCATACTATCAAATAATAAGGGTGCCCTATCTATGAGCGCGTTTCACGTACATATTTGGATACAATTAATTACTATAAAATTTAATTAAGGACGAGAAGTAAACAGTAGAAGACGAGCTGCTGGTAGTATAGAATGTAATTCGTTCAGCATCACATAATTTCAATCACTTAAGTCAAAACATAAACATTAAAAGTGCGACCAAAGTAATCTTTCAGCAGTACACAGCATCTATCAGGCAACCTCTCCATAAACCAGAAAAGCAGTCACATAGCCCATCACGTAATGAATGTAAACATGTATTTTATTTACATGAAACGAGTGCGTAGGTCGCTTAGTGTATAACAGATTGCCATTGCATGCTCGCTTACGCCCAGCTTCTCCCTTTCTTTCAATGGTACGTTATTTTGTTGAGGGCAAACGCGCAATTCTAGTTGTTTCAGGTAATACGCTGTAAAACAACTTTCACTTGTTCTCAATCCGGCACAGTAGGCCGAAACTTTGAAATAGAACTGTAAGCAGTCTCCTCTCTGTCTATACATGCGTAATAAACATTCCCACTCCACTTCAGAATGAAAAAAACCATAATACGCAACAAATGTTTTGGCTCTCATCTACAAACCTGTTTGTAGGAGTAAATGCAGCCTGCCTTCGATGCCTTTTGAGCTAAACTTATCCACGTTTCAAATAAACGCTAATGTCATTTCTACTTAACCTGACACGTTAATAACCCAACTGTTTGCGACAGGGCAAAGCAAACGATATCACTGATAAACAGGACTATCGGGGCTGACAAGTGCGTTTTAGTTTGTCAAGGTTAAAGCTACTTGCTATCCCAACCCTGCTAGAACGGAAAATATTATCAACTAATTCATGTATTAATAACACTATTGCATTTAATGTTACCTTAATCATTTGAAATTTTATGGCTTGTTCTATTATTGATTTCAGGGAGTCGAAGTCGAAACCTTTCGATTAGAGGGACATCTTCAAATGAGCAGTCGGAAGCGGCCTTACCATAGTCCTTTACAGCGATTCTCCCAGTTCCTTGCAGACTCCTTCCGTCCCGTCCGGTCCATTATATGTTATGTAGAAACAATAACAGCTGCCATTCAGCAGATCGGTGATGTCACTTTGTACTAGTTGAGCTAATTTATTAAACATATCTCTATGTCTTGAACCCGTAGCTCAGGCTGCCCATGCTTAGTTATCTTAATACCTATATACAATTCCTTCTTGATATCTTAATAAAGTGAAACTTCGGCGCAACTTAGATCACTCCTAGTGATCGGAATAGTTCCATCATGAGGCTCGCTGCGCGGAAAAATGATGCTGGTCATTCATAAGTTAGTCGTCGATGGCATCTATCAAATGCCTTCTCACAGTTCCTAGTCTACCCTTATAAACAGATACGAAGGAAGCTTGCTCAGAACGGCGGTCCCCATTCGGACTTCTTGTTTGTGCCGTCATCTTTGACGTTACCGAGTTTACCTACCGATGGTTAGAAAGATACGTAATAAATTAAATCAGCCCCTAGCGTCATAGGAGCGCTAAATCACATATAATAAGATACGTTAGACGGCGTGATTAGCTCATTGGAAAAGTGCTACTAGTTTCAGCTACGCTTTCATTACTTAGTTTACATTACAGGTGTAAAGTGTACGAGCTGATAACAATCGAAATTGTCCTAAAGTGAAACGGTTTCTTACGTAAACAGAGGCGGCAGACTTGCTGGGTTACGTTCATTCGTTGCACTCACCTAACATAGTTTCTAGCTGCGATTAGCGATGAGAATATTTCGTTACGATCGATGTCGAATCCCAGTGATAGGAGACGTGAATGAAGCTTTGTTGATGATTCTTTTGTCGTGTTTGTTACGAACCGCACTTTTACACCAGCATCTCGAAGCCTTCGTTAACACACAAAGAAGGTAACACATCAATCAAAAGCGTCATTCGGGCCCAGGTAGGAATTTCATTGAAGCACCCACGGATCCGTATCGACACTCCACGATATACGACCCATACATGAAAATCTATCCAAAAGTCCGCATGCTTAACGAGCAACTACCACCCTAATAAAATTTTTTGACTAGTAAAGTAGATAGTTATATAATAAAAACAAACACAGTCAGCTATTGCGAGTGATTAGCAATTTCCGAATGTATCAGATTCTGACCTGACCCTGCTTGTAGGAATGTCTGAAAAACCCGCTAGTCGTCGTAATTCAATTCGTAACCCATAGTTGAGGTGTATTAATGTTAGGAAACGCTAAAAGATTTTATCATTATTGTAATTCCATATAAATTCTATTCAAAGTCGCTGAACGTTAATAAAAGATATTACCTTAGCACAATAGCCACATGAGATGAGCATGCATATTTCGAAAATCAAAGTACCAAAGTAAATTTAGGAACATTATAAAGTGATTTCAATGTATTACAAGCGTTTGGATAGAACAAAAGAGTAACTAGTCTTTGTCAGGACCCTTTCCAGAATAAAACAATGGGAACTTTGAACGAGCAGCAAGCTTTTCGATTACAATGTTCCGAACACATTTGCAAGCAGAGCGAGAGCATTTTTCTGTTCACTAACTGCAGTGGAGCCTTTCTTGGATGGACACGGATCCAGTCGAGTTATCAGCCATAAGCGCAATACCGTTTGAGAGCTCCTGGTGCGTCACGTGTAACATTGTCTCCAACGTGCAATGTCCCGCTGAGGTCGACCAACGCCACGCGGATCATCTTAAGTCAAAATATAGCAGCACAATACAGCAATCAGGGCCCACTAAGAGCGGATTTCAGATCTTCATCGAAAGACCTTGTCCTTTAACGACCCACCTGAACTGCGAAAGCCATCCGCCTGAAACACAACAGATAATCTTGTTGGAATTACTGACTCTCAGCTGAAGACTAAACTTTAATTTGGACTTTCTACTAACCCTTCTAATGCCCCCGCAGCAGTCGTCAGTTTTAAATACCTGCAGAACGTTACATTATTAGACACGTTCAAAAACGCAGCACTCGTTTATCTAGCAGTTGACCGATAAACAACTGATGAATTAAGGACAATAAAGCAGAATGATTAGTTAAAACTACGAAAGACGATTCGGAATAACTTAAGAACTTAAATTTCATCGCTTCTACATAATCTTTTTCGCAATAACCAATTCTTAAGAAAAGAGGCTACTGGATCCAAGAACGAAAGTAACAGAACGAAAACCAATCAGTGTAAGTAAGGACCTTATTTAGTGGGTTCTTTTCTCAGTCATTTTTGTGTTCCGCATACGATTATGATGATTCGTGTTCATTCCATCTAATTCCTAATCAATTTTGTAGATCTCTCAAATAGGAATAATAGAAAAAAATGAAGCTATTACCTGATAGGCGTAATGTAGCATTTGAGTATAGTTTATGAACTGAGATCGGAACCTCTGTATTTTTTGTTTGGTAGATCAAAGAGGGCATTGAACCTTTAAACCGGGGTTTTAGGCAAGCTTTTTGTTCTATACGTTTGTAAGGAGTTAATATAAGAACTGCATTGAGTGAATATTGGCCACTATAGACAAGTCATATAGCTGATAACCGCTTCTATATCATTTAAAAAAAACCTTGTTAACTCCTTTTTCATTCGTGGGCTCAATAGGTGAAGATCAACCTAGTTTTAGCAAACTAAAATACAATCCAAGATTTTTCATTCTTTACAAAATTTTAGTAACTTAAATACATGCAAGATCAAGCCATGTACAACATCAGCAGAGTCATATTTCATTGTTTATGCCTTAATTTTTCTGAGAAGTTAGATAGAATGAGTCATTCTAGACAAACAAATAGATGGATTAACATCGATAGACATACAGCCTATCTATTATATATTGTTCACAACTTACTCGCATAGCTAGTATCTTAGTAAGTTGTGAACAAATAGTTTCATATTAAACATGATAATAATTTTAATAGATAAGGAGTTTTCTTATATGGTGCCCTGCAAGAGTCTTGCCCTGAAACGAATTTTCATTCTAGACTACTACCGATTTCCTCCTTTGCAAAAAAACAAATGTATATAATTCTGAAATGTACAGTCCCTCTAATACTCCTGAGAAACGTCAAACGGTTATAAAAAAATGTGTCCTCATAGTGGAAACAAAACTATCTGATCACTTCTGTTTGCTGTTCTCTGCGAGTGAACGTCGATATGTTATAAATGGAGCCCTTATTCATGTATTCAGATGTGTCAGAGATGTTAATATCATTGTAACAGCCATTTTGAATTTTAACAACAGAATTCGGGCTACTACTAGTGCAGTATAATCCTGTTTCTCGTTCGTTTATTATGAAAAATCCTGAATTCTATATGAGTCTTATTACATGTTTCATTCTATCAAAACAAACACTTTGCTGTATAAAAGAACAAATTGAAACTGTCAAATATGTACAGTGTAAATTTATTCGGCGCGTGGCATACAAAGCCATTTCAATATGGAAAATTATAACCCTTTCATCAGTCTCAGCACGGAATAGCAATGCGGATAGGCATAGGCTTAATCGTATCCGAAAATCTAAAAGTGTCTTCAGGTATTACTATAATTTAGGTCTAAATAAATTCAACTATGGACCGGCAGTCAAGTTGTTACGCAAGAAAATATGCAGGTCAATCAGTAAGCGAAGTTAAATTAAAAAAGATTATTAGGTATTCAATAGAAACTTATATATTATAATTGTCTATACACAAACATCTACAAAATAAAGGTGATTTACATACAAAGGACATACTTTAACACACGTTTATTATTATTGAGAAACCATTGCGATATTAGTACGCCTGAGCGTTGTTGTAACCGTTGTTTTGATGTAAATTTTTCCATTCTATATATATATATATATATATACTTGCGATAATCTGAACTTTCGAAGGAGAGCACAAGACGCCGATCGCTTTTTATATGCAAATGCTAGCAAGAGAAGCTTGAATAGATTGCCTATGAAATCATTTCGCTAGTATTTTATTTTCCAAAGACTATAAATCGTAATAGTGCTTGGCCTATGTACAGTCGCGTATATGGACTGAAAATTTATTTCGTAGAAGGGAGTTCACAACACTAAAAGGCAGAATATTCGTACGTGTTGTAATAAAAGCAAAAAATCGTCAGAAATTCGTTTGACTGTTGCTATGCTTAACTGGCAATAGACTTTCATAAGCAGAGCTTTGCATTTATTGCGTGAACGCACACTGCGAAAACTTTCGTTTCAGGACTGCAAATAGCAACAGCTTAGAGTAAGAGTTGATGAACGAATGCTCTTAAATTTACTCATTTTCTGTGTTAGCAGCAGACGATGCATTAAGTATATAATTTTAAATGAATATCTTTCTCTGCTAGTCAGGTATTAGAGGATAAAATGCAATTAGCTGTTGTAGAATACTATCACCACATTTGACGCGTAAGAGATCTTTAGCAACATAGTTTTCACATCTTAGCGCCTAGTAAGTTCCTCTCTACCCATTCACTCTCTACCTACGAAGTGTCACTGGCAGATGTTTGCACCTAGCCCGTTTCTAGGTGTTGTAACGAACTGTGTTGAAGATTCAGTTGCAAAACATAAAGAAAAGAAAAAAACTAGCGTCCATAAAGAAAGGCAATGTTCAGATTGATCAATGGTATGAACAGGGTAAGTCTAGAAGCAAAAAAATAGAATCCACTTCAAAAAGAACTAGAGTCAATGATGAGTAAAAGGTAATGCGCTAGTTAGCGGGACTAGATAGAACAGAACATTTCGTATTAATAACGCATCGAACGTCAAGCGTTAACGAAACGTTATTATATGATTGGTTGTCCGCTAATCGCTTACTCATAATGAGTTTTACCCAGTTCGCTTAGCCGGATTTTATGTAAACTTAACCCTTGGAATGGGTATTAAGCATCCACTAGCTTGTTGCACTATTACCAGCTGGAAACGGGTCACGTAAACAGCAAGGTCACACAAGTTTATATTTAAATATATTAAACACTGTACACTGTATAATTAGGAGTATACATTTGGCATTACAATCTCTATATACCGGTAGAAAGCACGGCTGCCAATGACGTATTTTTAATTTACAGCTGATATTTTGAAGGAATCGGAGCAGTTCGACTTATTCCGTGCCTCCGAGGGACTTGCGAATGCTGAAGGAATGCTAAACACTGTCGCAGAGAAGAAATCAGCGCGACTTTTACGCGAAAATACATCGTACGAGCAAATTGTTTTATTCATTACTTTTATGCTATGTTCTAACGTTTGATATAAGCTCGCGTGATACCTAGCAGTGTTTAGAGTACAAACAAATGTGGACGACTCATCTACACTAGTTGTCTCGACGGGCTACCCTATCCATTACACAGTTGGTCCTTCGTACGTCAGATCAAGCAGCGCCCCAGACACCCAAAAAAGTCTTCACATCGCCGTATTCTGTGTTGGTCCGATACGACGTGAGCTATCGGCGCCGTTCTAGCATCTGCGGTATCTAGTTGCCGCTATAGATTTTGAAAATTCCGGATGTTTTGCCACGGTGCTATTGTCTGGTATTATGGTGCTATTAGTGGTACTCGCAACGGCTGTTATAACATTGGAACTAAGGCAATTGCGTACCTATCATACTCGATAGTAACTTGTTTACATCCTAGGAGGGAACTCAACACAGATAATAGCGCTGTTGGACTTGCCACGAAAACACAGTTAGCATCGAGTGCATTTGCGTTGCACCGAAAATTCGCAGTACCTCAAATCACTGCTATCCGCAAAAAACACCATAGTCCATTTGGGAGCTCACAGGTGTTCGCCATTGACACAACGACCAAGGGCTGGTGTAACGTTCTTCCCAGATCGATTGCTAATGGGTCGCGTATTCGTAGCCATATTAATTGTTCACGTTTGCTGTTTAACGGTGGTCAGAGTGAACAAAACACCAGCGATTATGGTTTTGTGCGTTTGCCAATAGCAAGGAGGGTGAATCTATTTAGAAGTTGCAGTGCATCCTTCTACGAAAACGTTAACAAATATCTTCTAGTCTTTTCTAGAGCCCATTCAATATTGCAACGACAATGTTGTGCACAATCGACTAGTTCATCAGTGAAAGTTCAACTGTCCACGGTGGGGTCCCAAAGTTCAAAGGAGAGCCCCGCTCAGGGCTCTAAGACAGACCTACCAGCATTGGATAACGAGGACGTGACTGACGAAATGAGCTCACAGGTACAGTTTTTTCTTTCTTGTTAATTTTATGCAAGGGAATATTTTTGTACCCACTCTACGAAATATTCACTACTGAAGCTTAAATAACTTTAAATGTATGTTGGAAACATGTGTTATTCCTCGAGCCATTCCTATTTGAGCAAACTATCATGATACTCTACTCTAGCTGCCCAACTGACAAGGATGATCGTTCATCTTCCTTTTGCATTTATATCATTCAGCATACTACTGGTCACAGACCTTTCATAGACAGATATGAACCCATAAACGGATTACCAAGACATCCACTAACGCGATAAAACAGACGTTAATTAAATCAAGTTTAGCCACATTCAATTACTTTTAATACTTGAACTATCTAAAAATACACGTAGCTGTGTCGTGTCCTAAACAATGTTTCTCTACAAGATCCGGTTTAAATTAAGGACATGTTACGCACGACACGTACACGCTCATCTAAACAATTATGCTTAGTAGATGCGCAGGTGGTCTTATTGAAGCGCTGAATTTAGGTCACTTCAGTTATTACCGTAGGTTTATTTTTCGCACAGATAAGATAGATAGGTGTTGAAGATACTTATTGAGTTTGCTTTGATTGTGAAGCGTTGTATCCGATAAAGATCAATTGTTTGTTGATTAAAAGCTAAGCCAGCCAGCCTATAGTAGAAATCTTATACATTTTTACAAACTGCGATCCATGTTGGATAAGAGTCGAACCTAGGAGTTGGGCATTGCCAAAGGGCCTATCAAGGACAAACAGTGACAGCGTTTTCAGTCAAATCTTCTCTCACTAGAACAATACCTTTTTGTTCCATTCTAGTTGGCGTCAACTGCGGCCCAGCGATTTCACATCGGGATTAAATACGATTTCAGAGACACAAAAGCATGTCGAAATCATCGTGGCTTTATGCTTTTTCATTTTACATAACCACTGAGAATCATCTTGAGCCGAATGAAGTCATTGAATGCACATTTATTCTAAATTCGTCCGAGTATCCCTGAGTTAGTTTTAAGCTTCCTCGTAACAAACGCTTTGAAAGAATATCGCTATATCGACAATTTAAAAAACTGATATTAAACATGACGATTGGGTTGACGCATGTTGTAAAAACGGTCACACAACTTCATACATAATCAACAACTGGATGTAGAAATGATCATTGAAAGCTCTTGTTTTCGGCAACTTGCCTATCATATATGCGATATACTGCTAACTATTATGATTATTTTGTACCATGATGTACGTTATTTTAATATAAATTCTAGTAATTTCTTACAAAGTTTTGTTAATAAAAATCCACCTGCCCACCATTCAGCTACGGCTCACTCGCCACCAGGCGTCGTTCTTACGACGTCTTACTTCTGACGTTTTGTTCTGGGCAAAGAACGTGGTCTCCTCGGTTTCTGCACAGCCATTGGGGGTCGTGTTTATCGTGAATGACGTACTGGGCGCACTGCCATTCTGGACAAAGCTTCGTTAGGGGTCGTCAATTTAATTGCGATTTAGGTGGTGCGCTCAATGCATATACGCTAACTAGATTCTTTCATCGAAATTAAATTTAGCATATGAGGAACTATTTTGCCTATTTTTTTCCCAGTGTAGTGTTTCGCTTGATCTAAAAGGCAACGATTACAACCTAAGTTTTGTTTTGTTAGAACTTTTTATCACAAACTTCTTAAGTGCAACTAGTGAAAATAGACGATCTGTGGTTCGCCTGAAGTCTGAAGCTTGGCGATGATTAAAAACTTGTATTAGAAATGTCCCTGATGTAACACCAAGTTGACTCCACCACGGAGTACACTATAGCGTCATTTTACCCAGGCTGTGGAAAATGAGATATATTAATGCGCAGAAGTTCCCCATTAGTTCCAATGGGAGCAATCGCTATTTTTTGTTGAGACGAATTGTTCGACCGTTATTATAGCGGCAGCCGTAATGTTTTTCGTGGGCAGGGTAAAATCTCAACGGTATACGCGTGGCGTTTGTCTAAAAACTTTTGCAAAAAACTTGAGTTTTTGTGCGAAAGCAAGCCAGAACCGTACGAATTAGCAATGGCATGTTTGACGCTTGGAGAATATTTTTTGCAGATCCTTATCCCATGATAGACCAAGCTGTAGTTGAAGAATGGAATTACTTCCAAAATATCTCGTTTTCCAATTTAGATTAGGCGGTACATTAGGCATCTGATTTAGTCGGACTAGGTAAAAAGTGGTCCTAAAGTTTGTATTATATTTTCTTATTAGGCACCGGAAGATTTCAAAAAAGTGTCGCAAGATGAATGGCGTAAACGTTTGGACAGAGAAACGTTTAAAGTGTGTCGTCTCAAAGGCACAGAAATGCCTGGATCGGGTAAGTTCGTTCTTCCGTATTACTCCATACCTCCATACTAGAAAAAGACCGTTAAGTTTCACACGTTGTCCTAGCAGTTGTTTATTGTAGTTAAAGTAAACATGTTGTCTTGAAAGCCTGTTAAGGGTTTTACTCAAACATTGAAAGTAGCAAAATCGACAAATTTTCATTTGATCTAAAAAAAAATTAGCAAAAAACACATCTACAGATTATGAAAAAAGATTGATTTCCTCATTCAATGCCACATGTACTTTATCCATGTATTACCCGCCATAATATGTATTTATTTGAATAGGTGGTGGTGTAGGGGTAAAATGTTTGATATTGTACATGCAATGAATAATGAATTCCATAATAGTCCTTTAAAAAATCATCATCGTAAAAACTTCAGTTTGGTCTCATTTAATTGGCCAGCTAATCAATTTATATCAAATGACAACGAACGAAGCTTTGCCAAATTTCATGAGAATTCATCATGGACAGCTTCAGTGACCGACCGAAAACTTTTTGCCTGTGAATATTGTTTTAATGCCTGCGAGATCAGCGATGTAATCAAGTTGACGTGCAATCTTTGACTTGGACACTCAAATATATAGTTTAATTGAGGGGGTTAATAGGGTTAGAGAATTGGTTGACAAATTGCGATGGCAATATTTATACAATTCTCTATAATTTTCAGGCAAATATTTGAGGCATAGCGAAAAGGGGACATACGTCTGTATTTGCTGTCGCGCCAATCTCTTCCGGTCTGAGGACAAATTTAATCACTGCGGATGGCCTAGCTTCAGACAGGTTTGTACTATGGGAATCATCTACATTGTACTTTGCTGCCATATGCGTGTTGGCATGCCGTGCGGTCGTTCAGTTAGGTTATTACGAAGGGTGTTTTTGTTTATTGTAGGCAATGGGCACAAAACAGAATGGTTCCGAAGAGACCACAAACGTGAAGCGTGAGTACGATGGCACCCATGGAATGGTCCGCACCGAAGTGCTGTGCAAAAAATGTAATAGCCACCTAGGCCACGTGTTCGACGACGGACCGGAACCGTTTAGCAGGAGATTCTGCATAAATTCCGTATCGTTGGACTTCGTCAAAGACCCTTAACCTTAGCACTTTATTATAGCATTCTATAAAAGTCAAAATAGGATAACTTATCGATACCATCAAATATCTGCGGAAACGGATATATTGGTATGTGTAGAAACACAAAAATACGTCGAATCCACATGAATGTGCACCATGGTTCCATCCACATGAAAGCAGACATGTACGGCTGTAGGCCTTAACTAGTTTTTTTTTTCTATTTCTTCTCAAACGTCTAACTGGTTGTTATAGCCTACGACTACGTCTGTGTGACATGTGCATTTGCATAAGCCTTTTGTGAGTTCAGCTGCTATACTATCATCGTGTGAAGATGAGTGACAGCTACCTGTGCACCTTCAATGTATCGTGATTAGCAATTCGGTGACTATTCGGTCTACTGTATTATTGACAATCTGTTGGACAGAAAAACAACGAAGAGTAGAAAAATGAAAAGCATGGCTAGGTTATTAACGCTAGATGATTAACTAATAAACTATTGTTACTACCTGTTGTTGAATTAATTAAGAACAGATACATATGTATCTAAAATTGTTACCGTTGACTAGAAGGTCAAATAAGCGGATTCAACCGATTTCGCCTATTCCTTGCCTTATCGTAGGTACCTTGTTATTGGGTCGGGCCAACAAGTTAGCTAGAAGTTAAAATACACATTTGGTGACTACGCGTCTGGAGGTATTACACAGAAAACAATTTTTCATATACCTAACTAGAATTCCTCCGTTCCTTCAATATCATTTTATTATTATTTATTACTTTTATTAAATATATTGTCCCTACATATATTATTAGGAATCGCTGTTTCTAGATTATCGACATAGATTTAGTGATGGTCTGAGTTGGTCAATCGTTTGTGCAAAAAACGACTGGCGTAAATTCGGATATTCTAATCGGTCCCTGTCGTTTTGCGCCGCACAAAAACTTCGTTACGACGGTCCTCGTAATGCCTGTAGACAGCCTACAGCTTTTACAACAATTGTGATAAGCGACAAATAGGAAACTACACATAATACATTCCAGAGTGAAATATTCTGTATGTTTTATTGGTGGTGGACAGTCGTCGACTATCTGCCGCGGGTTCTCGCAGCGACGCAGAGCGTAACACGCGTCTAATGAGCCGAACGAATTGTGCACAATAAAGGGCATAAAGTTTAAAAACGTGCTGTGCACATAATTTTTTTTTAACCTATATAAAAAGAAATTGAACGATATTCATTAGCAAGGCGAGTTGTTATTTATATTTGAAACAATTTAAAGCGCGATTTGAGAGCGCAGTATCAACCATCTGTAACGTGTCCCACCATAAAGGCAAAATGCCTCGCCTGTTGTTCGCTTTTGCCGACTTGGAAGGGTACGACATATAAATCATATTCAAACTATAAGAGAAAAGCGCTTCTTAGAACACATCTCTATACATTCAGCAACATCGTTAGGCGTCAAGTTTGTCTTAGCTACAGCCAGCTTTAACTCGGTCGCACCATCGAGACGGGAATGCTGACATGCACATAGCTGACAGGTTTCTCAGGGATGGCCATGACCAACTTCTTAGTATTAGTAGATTCGAAAACAGCGATAGTATCAATCAAATTCTGGCATTTTAGCCTATCGGTATGGCGTCGTTACCAATCGCGATATGGAAATTTTTATGGCGGATATGGATATTTTTATGGCTGTTACACAGCGCAAATCACATATGTAGACCAATATACTAAACGTAAATAAAATCAGTGATAATTATATACTCATATGCATACTTAGACAATATACGTGAATATGAGACGTATGGCCGTTGATCCTGACGCAACGCCAGTTCAGTTCTTCAGATTGAGAGCGCAGGCAGCTAAATCAACGCCGAGAAGATGCCGAACTCAGAACTGAAGCTTGTATTATACTAGAAAGAACGTAACTCTAACAGTTCCTTTAACTTGTTCTTCAGGTTTGTGCATCGAGAAGGTCCTAACACCTATGGGTTGCCATAGCTGCACGTTCTGATTACATAATATCAAATGCTTCAGGCCGAATAAGTAGCCAGTATGCAGTCGAACGAGACATGATATACATTTACATAATACGATATATATTCTATTATTATTATTAGATCTGAAACAAATTTTCGTGTAGTCTAGCAATCCACAATCAAAACCCGGATGTTTCTATTTGTACTGATTAATACATTGTGCGTTTTTTTTTCATTACATTCTTTAGTTGGCTCGAAGGTCTTTATTTACACACGCCATCTGTTTGACCAGGAACGCAGGTGACCACATTTGATTATGCTACAAAAATATTGATCTTATATGAAACATGTGAGTCTTTACTGTCTTCAAGTTAATCTTTTTGAAGTGTTTTTATATTATGTCTGTGACGTTGTGTTTTTCAGCCTTCCGTAATCTAATTTTTTAAACAACTTGTATGTAGAAAAATGCTCATGCATGCAAGCCGAAATTAATACGTTTGATGCTAAAACAGTGAATTGGTTTACATTTAAGGGTTTATATGGCAGAAGTTCGATTGATATTACAAGGCGCCCTAGAAAACCATTATGGATTATCATTAGCTCCTGCCATACACAATCCATGATGGAAATTTTCATATTTTTCTTCCAAGTTTGAGTAATGCTTTAGGGATGAATGCTAGGGTATGCTGAAAAGAGCAAAGCATCGGTCATTTGTACGCTAACACATATTTAGTTCAATGGACTCAAGATCAGATTGTTCACAGCTACCAATAGATTTCTTAAGTAGGCGGTGGACGCTAGAGGACACCACGATTGACGTTTGGCGCGACGGAAGCTTGGACCGATGAAAGACAAAGACGTTGAGGGACAATAGAATGACAAAGTTTGAAAAAGGAAATGGTCATATATAATATAGAAGGTTTGCAGAATTGTTGAATACACCTCAAAACATGCGCATTAATTAATCTAGTTGTACCGTTTGTTATAACGTTATAGAATTCAGTCATCCGTGATTATTTCTTCGAACTCTTTGTGTGCTTTGAGTCAAACAAAACTAAGCGAATAAATATTGAATTTGCTTTGAATAGCTTGGCTTGAATGAACGAATTTATCCATACCTTTCGCACTTGGACCATGTTGGGTAAAACAATCTGCGTTCGAATAGCTTTATAGTGTGCATAGGGTGTTTCTGTATCGTTATGTTATTCTTTAGCTAATGCTTCTACTGACGACTACTTGTCCCAATTTGTCCCATATGTTACTAAATGTACTCGATTTAGTACATCAGTCCACAAGTTGACAGGCCCTAGTCTAGCAATAGGAGCAACGTAGTACGTTGTCCGACTGCCGGACTGCGACATAAATTTTAAATTTTTAACAGTTTATGTCGACATATATATATATATATATATTATTCAATGCACCTCTAGCCACTACTATGCACCAAGTGAGGTCCTTAGCGCTTTAGACAAAACGGATGCGATTATAAGTAATGATCTAAAAATTATACATTTTTCTATACTCCGACTCTATATCGAACTATGGATGGACATCCACAGCATCAAACGTTATTCAGCTCTTATAATGCTATAATATTGGAACACAAGGAAGCCATTTTCGTTTCTGTTTGTTGTCAGTTCCCTATGACACGTGTAGTCTAGTAGCTGCGTATGTACTCACCTTTATTTGCGAAATGCTTTTAGGTTGCACAAATAAGCACGACCTCTCTACAAAAAAATGCTTGCTTAAGCATATATATATATATATATATGATGTGTCTGTGCATGCATAATATATAATACAAAGAAAGTGAATCGTCCTTTATTGACAACAGAGAATGTTTAAACTCTATCCCAATTATATGATATTTTTTGTAGAAAACTAGCAGTATCATTAGAGGTAGCATTATTTCTTTTATCCATTTACAGATGGCCATGTTTGCGTACTGTAGGAATCATTCTCAAATGCTTCTTCAGTTGTTTTGAAGTGCAAATGCTTTTTTCGACAATTCAATGAACTGTTTTCAAATAGGAATCAACAAGTTATACGATTCTAGTTATAATTGTATTGAATAGAGAAGCAAGTGAAGCTCATCTGCCTTGAAATCTTTGTGTTCTGTGTTATAGCATCCTTCAGAACATCAAATATCGCGATTATGATGCTCGCTTTGTTGGTATATGAATGGTACCGTTAGTTAAGGAAAGAGTATTTTTTGAAGATGAATTTCGTGTAAAGATGATCGGTAACTGCACCAAATAGTCGCATTAATGATTGATGGTTATATACGACCAATTATATATATATACATATTTGTGTGTGTGTGAGGTAAAATACGTCAACACTCCGCGGAAACTTGCTTTTTTCAACAAGACGAGCCTATTTTCCCTTTTATCCGTTCTTAATTAATTTTCGAAGGCACCAATCCTTACTACCCTTTTTTAAATCAATTTCAAACCATGGCTTATGAATTTAATAGGCGAAAGTTCCACAGAAGCAGACGAATACATTAGCAGCAAGATTTAGTTTGAATAATGCATTAGCCCTCAATTTCATTCCCACACTGTCTCTTTAAATAGATTTTATTTATATAGTACTGGAGAAGGTTTGTAAAATTTTTCTCTTCTTCAGCCTCATAAAAGGTTTTTATCTTCATTTAGCATTTTTTTACTACTTACAGGACACTCATCAGACAATGTGTGCGGTAGTTCATGCAAGCAGTATTAATAAATAATTGATTGAATAATTTCAAAAATTATATCTATATAAAAAAATTATATCTACTATAATATAAGAAGCATGGTAAAATGTTGTGATGAAGTTGAATATAACTGTACGCTGACTTCTGCTCATTTCAACTGGATCTTTCATTTTCGTCATTGATACTAAGTTTTCCCCGACCTGGTATCTATATAAGCGCTGATTTTAATAGTACACCAATCTAAAGACTGTCTTTCAATATTAATGCTCTTCAATATTGTAGTGAAAATATATTTCAGCTGTAATATTATTTGTTTCGGTTGAAACATGCATAGGAAATGAGCGCGTTTCCATTTTGCTATTAAATATTGCTGAATATTTGCTATTAACAGACTGTCGATATAGTCCTGCATTAATTATTTGATAGATGAGCCAAAATGTGTTTTTCGAGTGCATTTACCACTTCAAAATGATATAGTGTGCACTTGTTCAGCGAAGATAATAATAGTTACCGCATTTCTGCAAGTAATTTATTATCCACAATTACATTTACATTGGTTAAAGCCCTCGTCAACCTGGAGTATGCAGACAATATTTTATTTTCAAGTGACTCATTCGGCCGCTTCGGTCGATCAATATGGAGACCTATCAGCGACTACATCATTTATTGATTTTGATGGCGGTTTATAAACGATATAGTAATGCACACCAACTCTACCAAACATATTACATTGAACAGTAATTTATGTTAAAGAGAATTTTTATAGGAGCTTTTATAGAACTACATCTAAATTTTGTTCCTGTGAACTCTGCAACACTAGAGTATTTCTTATTAATTTAAGCTTCATAAGCGCAAAAATAGTTGAGTCTGGTAAAACAGAAATACTTTTTTTCATAAACTAAGCGTTTGCCATAACGTCCTGACGTTAAGACTGGCTTGTTACCAGCTTTAAGCTTTCTCACTCTTTGGAGAAAAAACTTTGCCACATGAAAAACTCCCGGCAACGATAACATATTTAGTAGTGGATAGATGAGATCTCGTTTCGTTACAGGTAGGTCGTACGTGAATATAGGTTGATGTTTGTATCGAATGTCTTCCGATATATCAGTGACAATATTATATCCTATCATGTCTAACAACGTAGATATACTGTCTGTTTAGACCATATCACCTGTCATCGAAACGAGCAGTGAAACTCTGTGGCGACCTACAGGATGCAGTACATTCAAGTTAATAACGCCGTTTGGCCCCAGACGAATCTACGGTTCAGGCGATTTTGTCAATGCATCGGTTCGAAATTTAGACGCCTCTAATCTTCTGCCATAGCTATAAATTGAAACGTGTTTATCTATTGTAACAAATTATATTTACCTATCACTTATATGAAGTATGTTGGTATTTGAAAAGTGCCGAAATCTATCTAGAGGGCGTCACTTTGTTTCATTTCTATAATCACTTACTGAATGAGTGAGAGCGCACGCCTTACTTCGATTGCGTGTACGTCATGCAAGAGCATGTTATCGAAAGGTCGGGACGCTGGTTTGAACGGCTGGTTCAACAGGACACGCCGCAGGCGAAGCGACATATAAATGTAGCGCTGGGCCATACGAGGCAGCGTCAAAATCATAAAGACATGCGTTAAATTTTAATTTGACTTTTACAACCGTGGTTTTCTTTCCTTTGAGTAATTACATTAAATTTGCTGTATTTGGATAAAACATGCAACGCTTTCGTTTGTGCACTGAAAAAAACTATTTCAGTTCCACTGACAGACATAATTTCCGGGATGAAGTTTAAAACAACGTTGCCACTTCAATAGCCTAAAGTTACTTTTAGCAATTAATGTTGTCAAGTTGTGGGTTTCGTCGAAACTCGTATGTGTCTGAAATTTAGTATAATTTAGATTATACAACCTTTACACGGACATCGTTTCAAGAGGATGGGATTATCTGCAACAGGTCCTACTACGGAACAAGATTATAAAAAGGCAAAATAACGGGCTTACTTGCCTCTAACAGCTTTAGCAGCATTTTCCAGAACCTCATTAGATTCAAATTGAAAAAAAAGTATATATATACTGCTTTTAGCTTTGTTGAATGATCAGCTCCTTTGACATTCTGTAGATCAGATTCGCGACGTTTTCTATACAAATGCATTTGATGTTACGGTGAAACGACATTAGTAGCCGCTAACGGTAGCTACTGGAGCGCAGCTAATAAGTTGACAAAAAGATATTCGCGTATGGGATGCAGCTGACTTCATCCATCTTTTTTAGTATTTGAAGTCGTCAGATACCTAAAGGGGCATCTGGCAGCGAGGGTCCATAAGGGACTACTACCCCAGCAGTCCGTCAGACTTTGCAAAAGACGAAGTGTTTTCCGAATAGTTTTATGAAATAGCTGTTTTTATTTACCTTAAACCGTCATATTTCCTGTGAAAGTATACCAGACCGTTTCGTTGCTTTTAGTACAACATCGTCTTGACTGTGAGACCTATAATTTCGTGTGTTCGGCTTTCCGACCCGGCAACCTTGGCCGAAAATAATTTGAAGTCCAAATGAACAAGGTAAAAAGGGTTTGACAGCATGGCCACTCGGGAAGCGACGCCTTTGGATCGAGCCTTGATCCTTAAATGGCGCAGATACTACCGCCGGAAAGCCGAAGCATCTCAGCGAGAGAAAGCATATAAACGTGCACGTCAGCCAAAATCCTGGTCGATGATGAAGCGAATGGTGATAGCATTTGTAATTTGTTGTACTGTGCTCGCGATTTCGACCGTCGCTATCGTGCAGGCTCGCCAAAGACTCATAGAAGGACTGAAGATAGATCCTATGGGTGCAATCGACCCGTTTTAACTTATGAGCTTCCTTTACGTACCCCGCTTCGGCTACCCAAATCGGCCTGTTCTGTGTGCGGACGTCCTTTCTGTATTTTAGATTGTATTTTATTTCACTGAGTTCATAGGCTACTCTAATAAACTATTCTTATGTGACATATTAACCTTCAACCTGCTTTCGTTAGTGCGTATCGTTATAGTGCAAATATAAGTAGTTCAAACTGGTAAAACCTATTGAGCATGTCAGGCGTAATTAGAGACCCATGAAGTAAAATCAACCTAAAAACGTTTGTTTTGTACTTCAAGGTATATATTAAGCGATGTTAATAACCCGTGAGTTTTTATGGAATGTTTGTGTACAGCGTCCTGCTATTCAGGCTACAAGGGCTTGAATGAAAGCGAAGCATGACAAATATAAGACGTGGGATACGGTAATACATGCGACCATTTACATAAATAATACTGCACGAAACGCGAATGTAGGATAACTATCTTCAACTATATCACAATATTATGAAATTAGAATTTAGCTCCGTCTATTCTATAACAGTCAGGCACATACGAATGCATGTAGAGATATTTCTCAAGCCATGCTTAGATATGCAATTAAAACTTACGTCATGGTAACATATGTAAGCGTATCTGGTATGAATATGAGAAGTTATTCGCGTCAACTTTAATTAAGCGACGCTACAAAATCTGTGCTGCTTGTTGGTATTAATTCATGACTTTATTTTTAGATCGCCAAACGTGTCGTTCTACTAACGTTGTCCAAAGCTGTAGCTGGAAAAGTATCAATCAAAGCAGCTGCGAAATCCAAAGCTGGATGTTTTCCTACGCATGCAGCAGTAGAGAATTGGAAACGGCTTCGAAGCTAACACGAGTAATTAATAACACTCGACGAGACCTGTGTGTTTCGAAGGTGAGTTCCGGTATTTTTCGAAATAGATGTGTGCAGAAAGACAGAGAAATTAATACTTTTCAAATAGCTTCCTTGAGCAGGAACACCTTTGCATAATGCTACAATTAGAGTACTAGCTGAGATAGGCCATGTCGTGGCGGAACTGTTCTACGGTTTCTCTGTGTGGGTCTCACGTTTGTTGCAGCGAGTCATACAGGATCACGATCCTAATATGCACCTATACGTTGTAGGTCTGCGAAGAATACAAAAAGCTTAACGTCGCTGGAAAAGATACATTACTGATGATAATAAGGTACAATACAAAATATCAAATGGTTTAACCTTCGATTTATGATCTACTCATTTGGGCGTAAATACCATTGCACAGTGAAGGAGAGCCTCTGCTTGACTAGTATAATGAACCATTATTTGTGCAACTGGTACAAAATAACGAATTAAAGATGGTAAATTTTACCATCCCGAATCTTAGTTACAATTCTGAACTAGGAGCATTAAAGTGCCATGACTTTAACGAGCGTACATCTATTACTACCTACCCATAGAGATTTTGCTACTAGTTAACCAAATAAGCCAAATGGCGTTGTCAGGGAAATTAAGATCTTCATATCATCAGCACGAATCTGTGTAAGCCTATTGCGAAATTTTACTTCGTGCAACTCACATTGTTAATTTATTTTTTTCACCGCCAACTGTCGAAACTCTTACTGTGACTCAAATTGAACTTCTATATGCGGTTTACAACAAGTAACCGCAGAATTCAGATAAATAGAGTTACTTATGATCATGTTTGATCCAAAGAATGATTAGGGTCTAAAACCACGCTAGAAGCCAATTGACGACCGTCTTACAAGTGATCTTAAAGCTCGTCGTAGTTAGTTAAGAAGAACAAGAGAGGATCGCGCCTTATGCCTGCCGAAAATGACCGAGAGTTACACCAGAAGTTTACCTGTGAACTTACATCTCCTGACGTTCTTTGTCTAACGTCGAATAATGGTAAGTTGCACGTGGTGTCAAGCGAAACAGCCGAGATACATAATAAACGTTTATGATCTCGCCAGACAAGCAGCCATCCATTTGTCTACAATGTGTTCTTTCTACACTAGAATCATTCAAGTTTTTCTTATGGTTTCTCGGTGAAAGGAATGCCCAAGTTGAACTGCAGAAGTTAGAGACGTTTTCCTCCTTTAATGTGTCAACTTTCTGAGTTACAGTATTTTTGTCATAAAAGTAGTTCTTGTTTGTTTCTTTGCAGACTTGCGCGTCTAATGGCTAGCCGTTGTCACTTGGCTAGCAATATGCACCGTTACCTAGGCTGAGTATTGCAAAAAGCTCGAGGCCACATTCTAGGTTTCTAAGCTTCCAGATCGAATTTAAGTCGAGTTTTATACGAACGAGTAATCTATCGCGATACAATCGAGTCGGCTAGTTCTAAAAGTGATGTAACTGGCAATCCATAAAGGTATAGATAGCTTTCTATTGTATACTTAGATACACTGCAAAGTTCTCATGCTAGCAGTGGCTTTGCTGAACATGCCCTTCGATCTGATCACACAGATACCCATCCTTTGACAATATGGTCATTTAGGTACGTTCTTCTGAGCTCATTTGAGCGCTAGCAATTGAATTGGCACCTCAAATACGCTTACGTAAGCTTGCCGGCCATGATTATTTAAAAACCATCTGAGAAACTAGTTAATTATAATTAATGACTAAACGTCAGTTACAAATTAACTAGTACCCACATGTACTGCAATGTTATTTAGTCGCTTAAAGTATGTAGTACAGATGAAATTTCACTAAAAGGTCCATATCTAGAACGTTTTTATTGGAACCGCTGGACGTACGCTAACTCGCATTGAGGAACTATTCCTTTGGAACACATAGACTTAATTCCGCTAAGTAATCTAGCCCGTAAAAATAGTACGCCGGTTTGTTTTCGTGACTTCAATCTTGAAAGACGCTGCACGCAAGCACTGTTCACTTGCTCACTTTCGGACTATAGTCCGCGATCTTTTCCTTGGCTGAACGACAGTCGCTATGCCAACTAGGTTGTACTTACGCTAAAGAAACCTGAACTACAGGATAGATAATACAGGAAAACACTTGAGTCTTTCAAGTTTTCACAAAAACATCTGCTGGATGCATTCAAGCTGTCGCTGAAGCAAATACTCCACGGTAATACTTGGCGTTTTTCTACAGCAAGCAATAAACAGGACACGACAAATACAGCCGTCGGCAGACGATTTAAAACAGGCAAATGCAAACAACGGCTTGGTCTTTACCTATAATTATCAACATGTGTATCAGTCAGCATGCGTTGTTTCTATTACTGCCACTGTGTAAGGGACTATTCCGTGGATTACGTCAGTCCATAACCTTCTTTTACCCATTCCGCTAGAGGAAAGCTGCTTTCGTGGATAGCAAAAATATTGGCACGCGTGAAGCCGGACGGCCACAACGGCTCGAACACGTGGACATCAACCGATCTGCGACACTTTTGGCTGTCGTAACGGCGTGCTCCCACCGCGATTCGATCAAAACGGTCCGAGGGTCTTGGTTCATTTAGTAGAATCTTTGTTGCCAATACTCATGCAAGTGAGCGCTTTTCAAATCCTCTTTGGTGGGTTATTCAGTTGTTAAGGTTTCTGATTTATTTTTTTGGGTTTGGATTTTTTGTTGAACTTTCCCGAATCGACTTTTTTGGGAACTATTCTATTATTAATTAATAAGCTGAATCGAAAAAAAAAAAAGAGTCAAAAAACAGCTATCGAGCCAGCTTCAGCCTCAAATGTTTACACTATAGATTTAGTTGCAACAATAATTGGTTGGTTGAACTATGGTTCATAATGTATCAACATACAGGAGTATTTTTGTGAGAGAAATGCACATATTTGTAAATCTACTTGAAGCGTATGCTATGGACAAGTGCGTAGAGACATTAAATGTTCACGCTCCATTTGTTCCCTATGACATGCTTCCGAATTTCAATATATACACCCTAGCATGTTGTACCCACCCAAAAGAACTCGTATGTCCCCACCGAAGGTTGACCTGACTTATCAGGTCTGCTGCCTCAAGGGAACAGAGACCGAAGGGTCGGGTAAGTAAAATGTATTTTTAATATTTTTAGTGTATCCTTATTCAATAAAGGATGTAACCGCCACCAGCCACAGGAGTTCTCAGTTATATATGGAATCAAATGTGTCTAGTTGTGATACAGTATTTAATATTCGACGCTGTTAACTATTTTAGTAAATATTTGTTCTTGATATACGCTACGAAGTTATTGCGTTGACTACGAAAATACATGTAAGGCTCTTTGTTAATCTCCGGGTAGCTACTGGTATGCTTTGTTTGTGCGATATTAAATTTCCGGTTATTGTTTGTTTTTGTACATAACCAAAAATTAGGAAAATATCTCGACCGCAATGAAATGGGCACCTACATACGCATTGGTTGTTATGGGACGCCCTAGTTTCGTTCAGAGGATCAATTTTGCCATTGCCGGGCTTTCGACAAGCGATTGGGACTCGTAATGACCGTTCCGAAGAGAACACTCAGATCTATCGGAGCTACTTGCTGTTTTATCTAGCGTTCTATTTCTTACATTTATTTACCATCGTGGCTGCCTAGGTTTGTGGCTTTAATCGGTAATGGTAATTTTGGGTAATGTATATCTACATCACATATTTAGGATAGCAATTCATAGTGGATATGTGGAGTTCGCGTCATGAAGCTCTCGGGCTTTTTACGCAACACCGTATTACTAAAACGTTATTTTAATAGTCGTCGGTCCTTACACATATATATATATCTATATAACGACATGGTATTTCAAACTATAACAGAATGCTTGCAAGTCTTTAGCGTCGAAATGTGATAAATGTAGAAGTAAACATTAACTTTGTAGCGAGTAATCCAAAAGCTTCATAAGGCATACCAATTGAATTAGATGTTGGCGTTTCTCTGCTTCATACGCATCTGCGACAATGCAAAACTATCAATAAAAATATTTGATGAACTTGAAGGTAATGGAAGGCGTACCGATTCTTGGTAACCAAGAAGTGAGAAAGAATTTTAGTATTAACAGGACTAGGTAACGTTGTTAGGGATTCGAAGTTAGTTAAATCGGACCGGTGGCTCATATTTAACTACAATATAATGTAACAAAGGTAACCTCGAATAATTTCACCGCAAAATGTATCGTTGCCAGCGCTGGAAATTTTGCCGAAGCTGTAAAACGATAGTCTCCTTTCGAGTCAATCGTAAAACTGCGCCGTACTGCAAACGTGCGTAAAATTATCTATTGGGTAGACGAGCTCTGATAGGCCACAAATAAGACTACAATGGCAAGTTCCTTTAGATTCTTTTCAAGGCCTTTGGGTTAGCTAGTAGCATTGTTTTTTAAGTTTTTTTGCCTTTCGGCATATGTTGCTCAATACACACACACACACACATATATATATATATATATATATATATATATATGTGTACTTTTTCAATGTTTGTGAGGTTTAAGTTCATTTAAAATATCACTCTGAAATCACTTTGTATAATACATACTTTTACCTTAACGAGCCGATGGCGTTAACAAGGAGCGCAACATGGCGGAGATCTTATGTGAATGTCATTTAGGGTACATCTTCGACGGTGGACCTACGCCGTTCGGCCGAAGGTTCTGCATTAACTCGGTTTCTATAGATTTTGTTAGGGACCGCAGTAATTTTTTGCTATAAAATACATTAAAATGAGTGAAAAGATGGAAATTTGAATGATCTGTTCAAAAACATTCGTAAAGACAGATATAAATAACAATGCATATGTTCACACTAATGCAAGAACACGTCGCCATCGTCTTCGATTCTTTAGTAACCAATTAACTTATATAATCAGAGAAGATACAGGTGGATGTTGTAATTTGCTGAAGCCAAGTTCTACACGTAGCGACATTATAATCGAAGGTCCTTGTATTTTGGATTTCGAATTTGATTGCAACTCGAGTAAAAGTCGAGTAAGACTTTTACAGCTTGCTGGCGGTATCGCATGAATTCGGCTGAGCGTGTACCAGTGTTGTTGCTAGATTGAAGGACCGGTCGCCCTGTGACGCTTCGCGGGAATTGGTTTTCATCGACACGATGTTATATAGGCTCCTAAATGTAGATAAATCCATGTGCAAAGCATATGAAATTCATGAGTTACGCGCTTAAGCTCACTCTAAATCCCACTAGACAACTGAACGACTACATGCTTAGTAGGTCTGTAGTTATATGAAGGCATCGCAAACGATTAGTGGACCGACATAGCTCTGGCAGTTGTTTATCGGCAGGCAGCATCGAAATATAGGAGACACACGTATGCTTTCCGCACGGCTGAAGTGTTGTGCGGACGTTATATCTGAGTGAAGGACGTGCATGCGGAAGCATTATTGAATAGGATACGTTGTACGCCTATGCCGGTCGTATCTCGTCCACTGGAACAGGGCGAAGACTATTGCATGATCGATCCACGACGGTATGGGGACCCATCCCCGGATACAAATAGTGAGTTGGGAAGAGTTGACTCGCGTGTTCAAAGGTGATTCAGTATAGAACGCTACAAACAATGCTGGCGTTGATACGTTATCGGTTGTTTCAAGTCCACGAAAAGTTGGAGAATCGTGAAGCGTGTTCTTAATTAATGCGTTTTATTAAATCAGCCACAGTGCTAGTTTTGAAGGCCGTAAAGCTGAAGGATTTATATTCGAGAAAGGCATAAGTCTGTTTTAGTTAAGAGTTCGACTTACAGAAGTTCGGAGCGGTCTGACGTTTGGCTGATCTAGTCGACTTGGTATTAATGAGGTAGTATTCATAAACGGCTCAGAGTCGATAACGAAGTTATTCGACGTATGAATTTGTAGGTAATTCTTATATAGTTCTTCTCTAGTGCCTCGTCAAAACTGAATGTGTTTCGTGAAAAGGCCCTGTTCATAGTGATGTGTACGTTAAAAC